AGATTTGTTTTTGCTTCCATTTGCTACTATCTATTGTTTACTACTTAATTTATAATATTAACCGGAAAAGATAAAATCTATACAATCTAATCAGAATTTCTGAATTACAAAATTATGAGATAAAAACTTTTTTTTTGAGAAGTACATGTTTACTTGAATGAAGAAACTCATGGCTCGAAAATTGATAAGAAAAGAATATCTTACGCGGAAAGAAACCTTTGTCAAGAGATTTTGTACTTTTCCGAAAATACAATTTGAGACGAAAAGATTCATTAATGAATTGATTCACTTATATTTGGTTTGAGAAACTACTTTCTTGCCATAAAAAAATATCCTCGTCTTGGAGATTCAAGACGAGACAAAAAAAGATCAAGTTTTCAGACACCAAAGGAATCTTCTATGTAATTTCAGGAAAAATGTCTTTGAGAAACTACTTTCTTGCCATACAAAAAATTATCCGCGTCTGGGACGTACAAGACGAGACATAAAAAAATCAAGTTTGCACACAACAAAGATATCTTATATTTAATTTCAGGAAATACCGATATCGGTGGCCGAGTGGATTAGACGTAAGTCTAGTGTGTGACAGGTAGTGAGTTCGATTCCCCGTGGAATCGAATTTTTCAACGGAAGGCTCCGGCGAGCGGGAGGTTGCTAATAGAGGAACCGCCTGTACCGGCATGGGTTTTCTGTGGTTTCCCCATGCTACTTCTATGTTCTATAGGAGTGCGGATGCGGTACAATGTAGAATCCACAGCCGCATGCATAGGGTTCGATAGAGTGTCGAATGGGACCCGAAAAGGGACTTCGAGGCCGTAAAAAAAAATCTGGAAAAATGTATATAAAACTGTCCCCGAAGTGCTTGAATATTGTCTACAAAAATGCCGGAAATTCAGACACCAGTTTTTGCAGTGATGTCTTGGAAACAAAAGATTTATTAAGAGTTATGAAAGTCAGACGATCTAATAAGAATTAATTAAATCTCGCGGAATTATTTGGATTTACAAAATTATGAGACAAGAAGCGGAGTCCGAAAATTCGATGCAAACCTTGCACTTTTCTCTACGTACACTGAGAAAAAGAAAGTTTTTTCAGAAGTACATCTTTACTTGAATAAAGAAACTCATGGCTCGAAAATAGACAAGAAAAGAATATCTTGAACTGAAAGAAAAAATCTTCGTCAAGAGATTTTGTACCTGTCCGAAAATACAATTTGAGACGAAAAGATTCATTAATGAATTGATTCATCTATATTTGGTTTGAGAAACTACTTTCTTGCCATCATAAAATTATGCTCGCCTGGGAGATACAAGTCGAAATAAAAAAAGATCAAATTTTGAGACACCAAAGGCATCTTATATTTAATTTCAGGAAAAATGTCTTTGAGAAACTACTTTTTTGCCATAAAAACTTGAAATTTCCCATTTTTTTCCCCTAAAACACATTCAATATCACTCTCATGAGAATTACTACCACAGTTTCCATGAAATTTCGTAAAATTTTTAACAATGTAGAATATCACGAATACGCCCCTCAATGTATTCATTTGAGACACTAGAAATGACTTCACTTTGTCAAAACAAACTTCTTAAAAAAGCGGTCAAAAAAGTCTCAACTTGAGTAACTATTTACTAGTGTAAACTCCCGGATAATTTTCCCTCACTGTCTTTTGTACCTCTCGCACTGCTTTGATACATGTTACACCACCCTATGGACCAACATTACAAGCGTCACTCCCTCTGTATGTGATGCCAAGTTTCCAAAGCATGGAATGGGCGGATTGCGCATTTCCACTTTGTAACCAAGTTCATGTGTATCTCTGCGTCTGGATCTACTAAAGCTTGAGCAAGTTGCGAATGTTGGGATGCTCAGGCCTTCTGGACAGCAAACCCACGAACTTAATTGTAGAAAAGTTTAACAATTTTGGTGGTATCTCAGCTCACCAACTAATGTCGCACTCACATTTGGGCATTGGATACGCGGAATTTCGGGTTGTTTTGCGGAGCGGTGAATTGTAACCGCAGTTGGCTGCAGTCCACAATTGTACATACACGTGTGGCACGCTGTTGAAGGGAGGAGAGGACATTTCGGAAGGGAAAGCACAAGAGGCACTGACATACGGATTATTTTTGCTCACTCGTCGATGTATTTGGATTTCCTCTCTCCTTTTCATCATTTCTGTTATTTTTGCCATTTTTTCAAATGTTGGTTCACGTTTCAACGTTGACTTTTTATTGTCAAAGGGGCTTCCGCTGTGACTCCGCCGCAGAGAATATGAGCATTGTCGATGGGAATGGTCTACATGTGTATGTATGATGCTTCAAAGTTTAATGCATTATAATGACCAATTCCGGTGGGGTTTAATTCACGGTTTGTGGTGTTATTCGGTGAATGAAAAACGAATGGAAAGCTATTTGTGGTTATGAAATATTTTGTGGTGAGGTGGAAGTGAAGGTTTTATTGGTTCTTTAATTTTTGTTACGAGCAATCATTTTGTGGAATTACATTTCACGAACGACAATTATTTCGCAGCCGTTGTAGAGAACTGAATTTTGGAAAAATTGGACAAATCTCGGTTAAGCGTGGAGCTAAATTCCGTTATAGATCTTTTTTTTTATATCAAGGAAAAGAATGCGAAAAGGATGATGAATTTCCTTCGTTGGCTCCTAAAAATTTAGCATCTGTCACGTGATTTGAACTGAAATGGGAAAATTTATCCTGAATTTCATCAGAAATTTATTGTACTTTCGAAGTCACAGGGTGTTGATGCCCTTTCATTATACCCTTTTTCCTGCCCGATTCGATATTTCTTATTTTAGTAAATTGTTTATAATAATTCTCATTGCAAAAAGCAATACGACCGATGAGAATCATTGGTCCCAACTTATCAGCTGGTAAATTTTCATATTACAATAAATGATTTGCTCCTGTTCTAATTCCTATGCTCATTGAATAATATTTCAATCATAATCTCATAATTCAGCTCCCGAGGGAAACTATAGTCACTGTAAACAGAATAAGAGCCAATCATTAACATCTTGCAGTGTCCTTGGAAAGAGTCGGAATAATTAATGATCCAAGTTGTTCTTGTGGAGCCGAAAGCCAAAACTTTGAACATGTCCTGGGGCATTGGCCAAAATATGCTCACCAGAGATCTAATTTATTGGATACATTGAAAAAATCGAATTGTTCTGCGCCCTTTACTGCATAAAAAATCGCAGATACAACTGATCATCAATATCTTAAGGAAATATGTAAACACCTGAAAGATTGTTAACTTCAGATATAAAACAATTAAGATAAACAAGAACATGTAATATAGCATATTAAATGTCACTGATAGTGTAAATAACTCACAGTGTGAGTTCCATCACTTTAAATAAATGAAAAAAATCTCATAATTCTGGTTGTTGATTCTAATTAACTTTGCTTGAAGGAAACCTCAGTAAACGCAATATTAAGATAGAATTATTCTATTTTCCTCTGACCTAAATGATTTGGACAATCTTTTTAAAAAAAAATTATTTTTGTAAAAAACTCTGTGATAAGAAAAAATTTTCTCTAGTTTTTCCTGCAAATGAGGAAGACAATTTTTTAGAAAAATACAACTTCCATAAAAAACTTGAAAAAATACAGAAGCCAATGAAAGTGAGTCAAGTCAGGACTCAATAAAAAATCAGTAAAAATGGAACCAACCTCCTTGGCGCAGATTAGAACATGCACTGATAGACTAATTCATTTATTTCAAACGAGATTCGTTAACTATTAATGAATGATAGAGTTGTGTATGAACAAATGAATATTCATTAATAGTTACCGAATGGTTCACTTGATAAGTGAAAACCATTTGGTGAGACCGAATCGACCCTCGTCTGCAACCAAATCCATTCGTTAACAATAACTAATCCTTTCTATCAGTGTGGAAGATTAGATTGATATTAGGCAATGGTTACAAAATTTTCTCATCGAGTCATTTTTTCGTCTGCCGAGACGTAAAATTTCCTTGACGTAAAGTATTTTTCCAGGCAGCATAATGTGCAATGATTTCCTGGATAATTTTTCCCCAGCTTTTCTCTCCGTGTGGAGCAATTTTAATCGATACGCGAGGTGTCAGGACTTTTTGTCACTCGCATTGGTGTGACAGTGGCAATCATATTATCCTCAGTCTGCTTTGAGCGATCGTCCTTCGAATTGAACGGGAACTTCCTGTTTGAAGTCTTCACCCAGGCAAGAGAGATGAGTGGAGAAAGAGGGGAATGAGTTGCGGAGTAGATCGGGTGGGGCGGTTGTGACCGTTTCTTTTCATCTCTGTCGCTCAGTCGAGTGTTTCTAATCGATTTATTGTACCGACCGAGGTGCAAAGACTTACATTATACACCGAGGTTCCCGGTTCTTTGAAGGAGACCGCGCTTTGTCGGTTCCCAATCCACGTGGACCGCCAAAGGCCACCCGATCAGTTCCACTTGCTCTTTCGCTTTTACTCCTCGATGGTTAGATGGATGGGGAAAACAAAGGCTCCAAGTGGATCGTTCAGTGTTGGATCCACATGCTGTGATGTCGATGTAAACACTGCGGGGGATTCTATTGGAGCCCACTGGCCAGTTTCACACTACTAATGGGTTTGGAAAAAGACGATTGCAACACTGTAAAAACTAGGTGTTCGAAAATTCAGATGGCGAAAAAATATCTGAATGACAGAACGTGTTTGAATATTTGATTGAAATTGATTTCGATATTTCGTGTCACTGAAAAGTTTCAGTTATTTATGCTAAGATATTTTTGCGATTGTTAATATCTTCATTTATAAGTGAAGATATTGACAATTAGAGAAGATCACGAAACGTACCATTTTGCCTGACTCTGATCAACATGATTTCATAATTTTTGCAACCAATTGGAAAATACTGAGGGAAAAGAACGCGTCGATTTTTTTAATGCTTGAAATTCTTTTATAGTGGTTTCTATATTATTCTAATTAAGATCAATATTATTGATTCCAGAAAATTCTCTTCTTCGTGGAACTGATGGAGTGGAGGATCGCAGCAAATAGGAGAAACGGAGGTTTCCAGGCTTGAGTGAGTATTCAGACTTCAATAATTATGTTGACAAATTAAAAAATGAACGCAATTGAACAAGTCCTGAGAGAATTTTTGAACATTCTCAAGACTAGAAATTATATCTTTCCCGTAAAATAACGTAGTTTGCGTTATATCTAGAATCTGTTTTTTCATCAGGACTTTAATTACATAAAATTTTGCACAAAGAGTACAAGACCCCAGACTTACCGATGCCGAGTGCAGCAAACTGCGAACGACTCACAATCTGAGACTATCAACTGAATGAAATCATCTATTTTTTATCACGAAGTCCCGCCGAGGGGGAGCGGAAAGCGCCGCAGAAGTGTGGTCCAGGGGGCGCAGCCCCCGTTGGCCGGCAGGGGGGTGGGGGGGAATTCATCCGTTAGAAAGGTTTCTTGCTCTCAGTGTGAACATAAAATTATTTACTAGGGGATTTCATTTTTTAAGAAATTAATAAGAGAGTTTTCGTGTATTTTAAATTTTAGAAATCAACAAGGGAATTTTCTTGTATTTTAGAATATTTTCTTGTATCAAGGAAATCATCTTTGTCAAAAGTACAGGTGACTCTGGTTAGAGTCGACTGTTTTGCGGGATAGAGGAAGCGATTTCGGCGAATTCCACTCTATTTCCCTGCCCCCACTACGCGCTCACGTCGAGCCCGACTTTCGAGAACTGGGAACGATAAAATAAAAAATACTATTTCTTTTCTCTCTCAATTCAACACTTTATTTTAATGATAAACTTTAGTTCACAGCTTCAACTATAATAGCAATATTCATATGGATTCAGACGATTTTTTTATTATCAATATTTTTAATTTCATTGACTATATTTGATCACAGAAGCTTTGTACCTAACATTCCATAGAACAGATATTTCTTCTGGAGTTAAAGAACCATGTGAATCAAAAATGTTACAGTCGTTTTCTTTACCTCGCTTCATTATTTTATTTAATCCAATTTCGAATTAATTTTATGCCAACAAAACGAGATCCTCCCCCCATGACAGCCAGAAGTGGACTAAATTTTTTGATCGACAATTCAAATGCAGAATATTCTATTTTTCGTCTTTACTGGAATCGGAAGACAATAGCAATTTGAAGAAAATATTGGAGTGTTTACTCTCCGGCTTGGGTGGGGACAGAGTGGGGGAAGTGCTCGAGCGGCGAGACAAAAAAATTGAGGGGAAGTTCGACACTAACCAATATGCCTCTAACCAGAGTCCACTGTAATTTTTTCTCTGCGCGTGGCCCTGAGAAATTCCACTATATATATGGGGTATTCCGTGCTACTTCAATGAATGAAAAAAAAAGTTTTGTTTTTAAATGAGAATATATTTTGAAAGAGGGGCCCACAGATATTATTCACCATCGAAACAATTTAAGATTTAAAATTTAATTTAATTTAATTAATCGTAACCGTGTTGACATCTGAGTTGTTTTGGTGTCGGGAGATTGAGTCCACTTAACTAAGGTAAATGGCCCCATGTTCTACTGGATAAACAGATTAGTCTGATATTCTTATAAAAAAATTGAAAAATTTGTATTTTTTTGTATGCAAGATTGACACGTGTCCCTATCATGGCACAGTGGTTTGAATGACAGAGAGTTCATAGGTAAATCAATTACATAGTAAATATTTCATTTTTTAGATAGAACAGTATTAGCACCTATCTCGAGTCATAAAGTTATTTTTCAATTGAACTCTCCATCATTTTCAATTATTAACTTCCAGAAAATCGAAACAGAAAATTTCATGATCTTCACGTTTCATGAACTCGGAAACCTTAATTATTGATTCGATCCATTCAGGCTCACATCCACTCCATCCCACCCGTGCTAAAATTTTTGCAGAAAATAACCCTAATTCAGTTATTTCTAGCATTAAAATTCCATGATAAACTTCTAAAAATTAAAAATGGATTAGAAAAATAGTGATATTGAAAATAGGTGACGATATCTCTGGAACTTGGTGATAATCCTTTTTCATAAATTTGATTGATAATGAATGATTCTTTTGATTGTTAACTTTTTATTCGCCTTGCGATTAGTTGATGGATCAATCAATGATTTCCATGACTACGAAGATGTTATTGTGCGTTACAACGCTCACTTGGCGGTCACGCGCGACAGCGCGCATGATTGTCTAGTATCTCTAAAAATGGGTGATAAAATCACTGAACTCCCGAAATGTATACGTTGAATTTCAGAATCTCGAATTCGCAAAAATTTGGAATAGATTCCTAAAAGTTAAGTATGGATCACTGCAAATCTGTGCCATGTCCCTGAAAATCGAAACTTTTTTTCTCTCCATGTCAGCAGGTAAACCTCGCATTCGTCGGATATATCCCTTCTCAACTTGTTCGTTAGTATACCATTATTTATTTCAATAGTTGCGGATGAACTACATCGCTCTACCAATAGAGCTCCCTCCACAATCCATTTTAATTGCTTTCCCTACTTTTTCCAATATCGCTGAAATTCGAAATATCAAATAAAACGCGAACAGTCGCCGAACAAAACTCCATTGCCCTCATCCATTCTGTCAATATGCTTATCAAAACACAAACAAACTCACAGCTCAAAACTCTCAACACTGTCTACCCCCCCCCCTCACATTTTCCACCTCTACTGGAGAAATCTCAAATACACATATTTCGTGGAAGTGTGGAAAAAAACCTTCGCCATTGATAACCTATCTCCAATGACATCGATAAGCAGTCTCGACTCATCGGGTATGTTTGCCGTGTGTCACAGCTGTTATCGGTGAGATTTCCAAACACAACTGTTGGACGTTCGGACTAAATTGATATTTGATACGTCGCGGTGAAAAAGACCTTCACCATTTACTCCGTATCTGCCACTCATACCTTCAACAGAAGGGGGCGACAAGCGGTGAATCATCGGTTTGATGTGGAAAATCCAAAAGTATGAAGGAACGTTAAGACGAGTTTCCGTTCAATTATTGCGAAAAAATTAATGAATAATCAGGAAAATTCAGAGAACTCTCTCCTGCAGTCAATTAGTTTATGTGTGTGGGAGTATTAGAAGAACTTCATTAAAACAATCCTTTTCAATTTAAAAGTATCGTTAGTGTATCATGGAACTGGTTGACAATTAATAGCAATGATGATCGCAAACATAAAATAATGATCTCAATTAATAAACGATAGATGTAGCTTGAAGTGCTCTCGTCAGTGTTGCTGGACGAACTGACTCAGTCTCCACTTCCTATAGTGGAGATCTTTAACGCTGTATTAGTCATTTGTTTAGACTAACAATGCTGGCCTGCGTCGCCAAGGTATAAAATGCCTCTCAGAATGTTTATTTTATGGTGCTGATGCCCGGGATAAAAATTTTTAGTCTGTTGGATCTCTTCAAGACTGTGAAAGACTAAAATCAGTCTGCCTGGGTCTTCCGTAACCGGTTTCGCGTTTCGGAGAGTCTTTGGTGAGAGACTCGAGTCTATCTGAATCTTCGCCAACACGGTAGAGACTAGAGTCTCTCATTGAAAGATAGGGATTTAGAATTTTCGGGACTGATAATCATGATCTCGCTAAAATTAATTATTGATTCATCAATTGTTAATTAAATAGACACTGAAGTAAGTATAATATAGTACAAAGGATGGATGGAGGGGTGGGGGGATAATAAATTGGACGACGGAGCAAGATAAGATAATCTGGTGATCGCGGGTGATGGACGAATTATATCGTGGGGTAAAATGGGATGAGTGGTGAACTAAATGGTAGGCTAATTAGCTAGTGGGGTAAAACGGGAAGGTGAGGTAGAATGGAACAGCCTGGACCATGGGTGAATTTGGGCCGGGGGGGGGGGGTGATACCCGATCATCCCACTAAACACCCGTATTTAATTTACCTGCCGCCCAAATTACCCCTCCGGCTAATTAGCCTATCATTTAGTTCACCCCATTTTACCCCACAATCTGAGCAGTGAATAGCATTCTCGTCCTGTTTACTCGGAAATTCAATTCTACACTCGACCATCTAATTTCATTCCATCATTCAATTTACCCAACGATAAATAAAAAAATTAGAAAAAGTAAATTGAAAAAGTACAAAAATTGAAAAATTAAATTAATTCGCTTTCGGATTCAACCCCTACTCCAAGTCACCCCGTTATCCCATTTTACCCCACTGTCGGAGTGGCTCACCGTTCCGGTTTACTTTATGGGTTCATTTAACCGCTATCCCATTTTGCCCGACTCTAACTAACTTGCTTTCCCGTTTTACCCCGCGAGTAAATGGTACAACTGCTTTCCATTTTACCCCGCTGTCCAGTTGGTTCACTCCACCCCAGTATCCCATTTTGCCCCATTTAATTCCAGTTTCCCTTATCATGTGCCCCTCTCCGTTATCCTATATTACCCCTTTGTGCACCTTCGTCAATGCTTCCCCTATCTCTTCCCTCTCAATAATTGCGCATATCAAGCGAAAAAAAATTTGACTCGCCAGATACCGGGGTAACCTGCGATCACTGAAGCTAACCAGTAGTGAGTTGGGTTAGTAAAAGGATGGGTGACCGAAAGGGAACACGGCGGATGACCGGGAGGGAACATCTGGAGAACCGCTGAACCGATTTCTTTTTTTTTTGTTTTATAATTGTTCAATTTGTGAATTAACTACATAAATTATAATATTTTCAATTATTTTTCAATAATGAAATTGATGGAGTTATTAGTGATTAATTAATTATTGAGATACGTAAGAGACGCGGAGCCTCTCGCCGAGAGACGCTCGGTAGCAGTCTCTCGGCAGTCTTGCTGCGTCTCCCACGCAGAGTCTCTCAAAAGTATGGCTACTGGTGCTGAGCCATACTCTCATAGACGCAGACGCGAGTCTTACAGACCCCAAAAAGACTCAAATTTTTCATCCCGAGTGGTCCCCCGCATAGAACCGTCTTTGTTCCAATCCCATATAAAGACCTCTGATAACGCCTCGGAAAATTTCCCCCACACTGCTGGAATTCCAAATTCTTCTG